AAGCAGAAACCCCCAAAAGAAATAGGAGAAGAGAGGCTTTCGAGGGAAGAGAACGGCGTGACTTGGTGTTTAGGAGAATGGCCAGGCTCAAACCCAGCCCTGTAACATTTTATTAAAAATATGCACCTTTGGGGTCAGTAGTGGCCGAACCCTCCTGCTGTACGTTAACGAGAACCCATGACTCGGCCTGTGTGGGGGCCCCGGCCCTGTGTCCACCGGAGACCGCCGCCGCCGTCTGTTGCTGAAGGCTCGCCAAGATGCTGTGCGAGGGGTGAGCAGAGGGACGGGTTAAGCTGGGGTTGTCTCTCTCATTGTCAGATACGTAGCCACGCAGAGATTCGCTCTCGCCAACTGCTACAGACTGAAGACTGGAATCTGCGAAAAGGAATAAGGGCAGTGGACAGTGAGGAGGAGGAAAAGAAGAAATTTGTGAAACATGGACCGGCAATACTCGGAACACCTTCAAGTCGAAGTGAGTACTAATTAGCTGTAGAAACAAAATTTAGAAGTAAGGAATGTAATCCCAAGTGCACCGTATCTCAGCATTTGATTCGATCGTGGTCTGTTGATACGGCAGCGCTTGGCGGCACATTCCCAACTTTCCTAAAGAGGTTTACCGATAGGAGCGAATATGCGAGTTCCAGGAAGCAGTTCAGAAGAAGAAGATACGATCACTAAAACATGAGTTTTGTTTTCCTGACGTTTCAAATTCTGTCGAGAATCCTCAATCATAGGTAATCGTAGAAAGGTGTGAGACATGAACAGATTGGGGTAAGACTACAGAGATGTTAGAGTGGGCCTTGCTATAGCAATCCAGCTTCCTCTTAAAGACTTTAACGGAAGCGGACATAACAATATCCAGGGGCAGAGCATTCCAAGCTTTGACCGCGCTATTACGAGAGAAGAACTTTCGTGTGTCCAACTCGGCCCATATGTAATTTAGTGCCGTGGATACCGATGGTTAGCGGTGCTCTGCCGAGCTCACCATTTCTTCTCACCGAAAAATATCGTACTCTTATAGTATTACTGGCTACGTTTAAGTAACACTTATTTATGAAATGTATGAAAGTTCCGCCAAGCGGTGCGAATAACTTATCTCATAATAACTTATCTCCGCATGGACAGTAAACAGCGCGCCTGGATCTCCTATAAACAAATAAACCGGTTCCCCCGTAAATCTGATATTTAATGACAAGCATCTCTATTAGCAGCCAGGAAGATATAATTTCCAAAGAAAAAAGGATAATACACTGAAGTAAATGGAACATGGGGAGATGCTGCCAGATGAAACAAATACAAGAAGCAGGTAAGGTTTCAGCTATTCAATTTCGTTAGAAATTTAACTTTAACTAGGAGGAAATCAGTATATTCAACGATCTGTTGGCGCAGACCGAAATTTACTAATGAATACTGGTAGATAAGCGCTCACAGATCGGTTACAGAACTCACTCCTGCCGTTGTGCCGTGGGCTC